CAGTCATTGCAAGTGCCATTAATAATCTTGTTACTGTGTGGTTCCGATTTTGTCACCCACAACCATCACTGAATATGTGAACTTCTTTTATTTCAGCGGGTATATACTTTTCAATGAATCGGTCATTTCAGAAACAACATGAGTCAAAAATTACAGTTTTGAGATATTCTCAAAAAACCGTTTTTGTAGCGATACAAAAGGAAATATCTTAAACTAATTTTTTTTAATATTAAATTGCTTCGTACTTTATTTTTATTACTTTTTTGACTTAATTAGATGTGTTTGGTTATAGCATAATTTATTGTTTATTTAACTGACTTATGTTGTTTCTAAAAAGAACTTAAATTTTTATTTTTTTTTAGAAATTTTTATTAATATCAAAAAACTCAAATAACAAAGTAAATGTAATCTTCATAAGTTGCATCCATAGTACGCCACTGCATAATTTCTTCAAAGAAAAATCTTCCTTCTTCTGGTATATAATCCATAAACTTGCGAATATCGTCAATTTTTTTTTGTTAATTGGAACTTTGCCTTTTGGATAGGTGGAGATTGCTGGTAGTGGTGAACTCCGATTACTTATTTTAAGTCCAAACCTGTGATTTGTAAGGCCATTAATGTTTTCTGATACTGTGACAATTCCTGGGTGATCATTTGAGTTAAAAAATGAGAGTGCGTTGAAATTTGAAAAGTTATTTTTTTATCTCTTTGAACTTTTTTGCCTACCGAATCTTCCGACGAACAGTTCCTTTTGTAATGGGTTGGCCACCATTTTTTGAATTCAAATATTGGAAAATGCATTTTTGAAAATAAAATGAAATTTCCACCTCCCTCTAAGCTGACCAGAGGAGGAGATTACATTAATTATTATATTGCTGCTGATGAGGCTTTTCCTTTGACCACTTCTTATATGCGTCCTTATCCAGGAAAATTTTTAGCACAGAGCAAAATAATTTTTAATTGCAGGTGTTTCATGAAAAGGTTATTAAAATACTAATGAAATTAAGCTATTTGTATTGTTTTAGATTATGTAGGGCACGTAGAGTCATAGAAAATGTTTTTGGGATACTAACAGCAAGATGGCGTATATATAGAAAACCAATTATAGGCAGCCAACCGACAGTAATATTAATAAATTTAATTCTACTAGCCACAGTTTGCTTACATAATTACATTATAAAATATGAGTCAAAAAATGGACATGAAAAACGCTATTGTACTTCCTCAAGTATAGACAAAGATGAAATTGGAGTAATAACAGTGAGGGAAAGTTTATCAAATTATTTTATGGAAGATGGAGCAGTACCGTGGGATAAATAAAATATGTTTTATATAATAGGATAATTTAATAAATATATTTACATTTCTTAGCATATTAAAAAAATCTGTAACAAAATAAAATCTGTTTTATTAATTTATTTTAAATATTTTTGGCAACCCTCATATGCAACTTGCATTAACCCTGAAACTATTTTTTTGCATTTTATGTATTTTTTTCTTGAAAACGGTTAAATTAAGGTCACTTGAGCTAGGAAAAAATGCAAAAAAAAAATTTGGTTGTTCAGTTTTCCAAAAAAATGGTGGCCTTTTAAAAGGACAGTAGGTTTAAGAGCTGCTGCTAAATAAATAAAATACAAATCAAAAATATGTTAATTTATTCTATCAAAAAGTTTTACAAAATATTTAAACTCAAAATTTAAACTAATTGGTATGATAGTTGATAAAACAATCTTTTGGGTGAAGAGAAATATTGCATTTTTGACACAAGAAATTTGCTTTTTTGTGGCACACAGCACACCTTCGCTGATTTTCTTGGTATATCACTAAATGATCTAGTCTGTCATAGCGCGTATATTGGTGCGCGTTTTTCGGCAACATTGAAGGCCCTTTCTTAGTGCTTTTCTATGGGGGTATTTCTAATAGTTCTGTACCGATATCTCTTCTAAATTGTAGTTGGTCAAGGGTACCACCATCATTTTTATGAAGCTTCATTTTATCATTTTATGAAGCTTATGTGCCATGAGTTTTGTACTACCATGTCGACACAATGCGAAAACAAATACCACTTCTTACCACGTATGGAAACTCTGCATTGGCCTATGTTTTGGTCACTGCGATCTACGCCACTCATGTTTTCGTTATATGCTTTAATTAATCGTGGCTGATCTATACTCACATGCTTTTTCTCAGACTGAGAAAATCTTTTCACTTTATGTACTGGAAAAACTGTACAAGCATTAGTGGCCAATGTAACGACGCTATTGTCATTCCATTTGCACAAGGCGATTTCATTGTCAGCAACTCCATATTCAAATGTGCCTCTAGCCTTTTCTTTAAAACTGTCGAGTTACTGAATGGTGATTTGGGGATCCTATTTTCGCGTATAGTACCAGTTGCCTGAATATTCCTCAATTTTAACTCTTTTAGAAGCGATAAAGAAGAAAAGAAGTTATCAAAGAAGAGATGGAAGGGCTGATAAGGCATTTTTTGCAACATATCGGCATATTGGAGTACAACTGACGCTCCCAAACCCATATGCTTATATTTTTCTGAAATTGTTGTCGACGAACCTTGATACGGGTCAAAATAAACTATATATCCTAGTCGTAGAGTACCTACCCAAAATTTATACCCTCACCTTATCGGCTTTCCTCTTATAAACTGCTTGCAGGTATGCCTCCCAAAGTACGGTATCATTGCTCCTGTTCTAAAGTTTCATAATACAAATTCAATATATCTGACACCTGTAACTGAAAATGAAATTATTCAATATATTGCCCAATTAAAAAATAATAGTTCTTCTGGATCCGACGGTATTTCAGTTAAACTAGTAAAGAGAATAAACCACTATATTTTAAAGCCATTAACACATATTATTAATACTATTTTCCAAAGCGGCAATGTTCCGATATATTTAAAGTTTCTGTAGTAATTCCTATATACAAGTCGGGAGATAAATGTAATGTTACTAACTATCGACCCATCAGTTTAATAAATAATTTTAGCAAAATTTTAGAAAAGGCACTAAAAACCCGATTGTTGGCTTTTCTTGAAAAAAATGACATTATATCAAATAATCAATACGGTTTTATAAAAGGAGTTAGTACTGCAGATGCAATATGGAAACTGATCTCCGAAGTGTCACACAGTCTTAACAATAATGAGAAGGCTATCGCAATTTTTCTGGATTTGGCAAAAGCATTTGATACGGTCTCCCACCACATTCTCCTGGGAGTCCCATTTAAGTATGGTATAAGGGGCCTAACTTTGCAACTATTTAAATCATACCTACAAGACAGAAAACAAATGGTCAAAATAAATAATCAGTTCAGTAACCCCAATACAGTAAGAATAGGTATTCCTCAGGGAACAGTGTTGGGTCCTATCTTATTTATAATATATATGAATTCCCTTCTTAAGGAGGTAAGTGTCGATGGGACTCTCTTATCTTATGCCGATGACACGGTTTTGATTGTCAATGGTAATTCCTGGGAGAGGCTAAAGAAATAGCAGAAAATAACTTCAGTAAGGTTTGCAATTGGCTGAACAATCTTCAACTTTCTATTAATGTCGAAAAAACAAAGTTTGTAGCATTTTCATTGACCGATAAAAACAGACCCGAATTTGACACTATTAATACAAATCAAAACTCAAAACGAATACAAGGAGTCAGCGAAGTAAAATACCTAGGAGTTATTATTGACAAGCATCTGAGATGGGATAGACACGTGTATAAAGTTGCAAAATCAGTTAGAATTTTGATTTATAAGTTTTATCTATTGAGAGAATTTATGAACAAATCTCTGATGATCCTAATATATAGATCATTTGTTGAGTCTATTCTGAGATATGGCATTCTCGTGTGGGGAAATGCATCCAAAACAGTTTTAAGGCCTTTGAACATCCTACAAAATTATATATTAAAAAGTAATATTTAGAAAACCGAAGTTATTTCACACTGAGTGGCTATATTCGGAGACTGTCCCCAATCTTCGACATATATACATCTTAAATGTCGTTAGATTCATGCAATTAGGCACCAAAAAGAAAACAATACATCATAATTATAGCACTAGAGCTAATACAAAAAAAAAACACCTTATGCTCCCGGAAAACAGAACTGCGATGAGTCTAAACTCAGTAAATAATATGGGTCCAAAATTGTATAATTGTATTCCTCTGGAGATACACAGAATAAGTAACATACATAAATTTAATCTACAATGTAGAGAATATGTTTATAAAAATTACAAAACAGTCTTTCAACACATTTTTGAGTAGAAACACAATGTATGCCTGTCATATTTTTAGTTATATTTTTCGATTTATAAACCTTATGTTATTTACCTTTCCTTTATTTACGCTATTTTTTATTCTAGTTATTAAGTAAATTATAGCTAGATTCATTTTTATTGGTTATTAAGTTTAATTAACCAAATCTTTACTTAGATGTAAGACAATTAAATATATTAATTTTATAGTCTAAGAAAAAGCTAAACAATGAGACGCACACAGGTTTCACATAGAAACCTAGGTGTCTCAATATTTATTTAAAATGTAATATCTGTATAATGGTAGTAATAGTGAGTTAAAATATCAAAAATATTAAATAGTAATAAGTTATTTAAAACAAAAATTAAAAAAAACAGGTAAAATCAATACACCACATCTTTTTTAAATAAATATTACATTCTATAAACACATTATTTACACTGACCTACAATTAAAAATATTGAAGTGATCGTCAAATTCCGATGGTGTAAATTTTCTAAGCAAATTACGTAAGGCTATTTTTGTAAATATTTATATTGATATCTATTATGAATTCACGTACTTGTATAAATTATATTACTGATTAGGTAACTAGGTTACTACTATTTATATTTTATTATAATTTGTAAAACTATGTACCACTCTAGAAATAAAGATTTTTGAATTTGAATTTGAATTGCTTCGTCAAAGCTGTGGTTCTGTTCAATTGGTGCAAAATCAAAAACCTTTTAATTTAGATTGTTAAATAATGGGCGAAGTTTACAGTATTTGTCATTTTTGTCAAGAGTCGTATTATTATTACAATGAAGATTACTCATTATGAATTGAAACCCGTCTCTGGATATAGCGGCTGATATAAGCTTATTCTGAGTATCATCGCAGTTCTGCCAATACATATGCCGTCTTGAAACGCTTGCATAACCACTGACAAGTAACACCCCTAAGAAGCAGTACATCTCGTCTACCGTAATGTCACCGGTGCGGTTTTTTTGCTGTGAATATACATTGCTAAAATTAACAATTTCTTCTACTAAGTCTTTATCAAAAAAGATCTTAAATGTAGTTCCAGGTGAACGATTATTTTTTACATTTTGAATTGGTTGCCATTCCAAAAACGAATTCTCTAAATCTTTATTTAGGGTATAAGCAAACGTCTTGCTATTTTTAGGTCGCCTCTCTATAAAATTTGACAATGGTAAGCCATCATCGCTGTCCCAATCGTTGTCACTTTCCACCTCAAAATCAATTTCGGCCTGAGCTCTCAACTGCACCCCAGGTAAATTATTCGGTACTACATCATTCTCGTCCCCAGAATCTTCGTCTGTGTCGCAGGTATCGTTGGCATTTTCCGGTGGAAAAATCACAATGCCTTTAGGAACCTGCGGTATAGAATCACTTTCCAACTCCTCTAACAGTTCTGCCAAAGTCAGTGGCTTTTTCCAATACCTAAAAAATCATCCATAGTAGTATAAAACCCTACCATCCTTTTAAAAGGACATGCTCAAATGCACGTCAATGGATGGAATAACAAACACAAAATATAACTTCCAATACAAAAAACGATTAGTTTATGTTGTTCTTGGTTAGAAATAAGTAAAATAATAAGAAAATTATAAACAAGTTTGAAGATAACTTACCTTTTGTCACTCATTGTAAAATTGTAATATTCAATAGACTTTATTACCGTCACTATCAATGTAAAATCAAAAGGAATACGATCGAACCAAATTAATTCTGTTTCAGAAATGTTGAATTTAAAGTGTTAGACTGGCGCCATCTTCAAACTAATAAGTGAACTGGATATTCGCAGGTTTCTTTTTAAAGTCCTTTTAAAAGGACAGTAGGTGTAAATGGGTTAATTTTATTTCCAATTGCGTTTTAGCATTTTCGGGCAAGAATTTCAGTAATTGTGAAATCCTCATACATATAGGGTTTATTTCTTCATTCACAACTGGAAGTTGAAGAGTTGAAAGTGGGGTATTGTTTGCCCTATCAAGGGCTTCAAGTATAGCTGTTTCAATATTGTTTTTTTTTCGGTTTTTCTTTATTTTTAGCGATTGGTGAAAACAATGGGGAAGCACAACTAGATTCTACCGGACTTTCTGTTAGGGATGAAGCAATATTTGATACTGTAGGCCTATAACTTATAGTATCATAGAACTCCCATTTCTTCTTTTTTTTGCAGCAGATCCGCTAGGATTGTATTCGCCCTTTATCCGTACGAAATTATCTCTTAGGTTTCGCCACCTTTTCTGTAGAAGCGGTATGGAAAAGTCAGGATTTTCTCCAAATTGGACATAAATTTCTTGCCATAATTTATCCCTTATTGTTTTTGACCTTTCTTTTCCTCCCTCAAGACTCCCCTTGTTTTGAGTCCCACAACGCTGGTCTTGCCTGTACACAAGAAATCAATAGGTTCTCTACCGTATGTTGTGTAGTTTTTATGGATTTCTAAAATAATTTAAACTTGATAAAAGTGAATAACTTTTAGTCACACATATGTTACGTACTTCTGTCTCGGTTTCTGTCGTATCCTCATCGTCGTCAGCATTCAAATTGTAAATAGCAAGTTGCTATTTACAATTTGAATGCTGGCGAAGCAAGAAAGCTTTTTATCAGTAGGGGATCGCTTTAATTTTTCAAAAAGTACTGGACATCGAGCATTTATGTTTTTTACTAGATTGATAGCTGGTTAAGTAAATAATATTATAGTATGGCCCAATGAACAAGAAACACAGAGAATAAGCAGGATGTGTGAACAGACTTCAGGTAATAGCATTTTTTCTTCATATACCTAAATGATTAAAAATGGAAAATATAATATTTTTATGCTAAAATGTTGCTAAATATTATCTACCCTTTAATGTTATCATCTTAGTTTATTTAAGGAATTCCAGGAATAGTGGGTGTCATTGACGGTTGCCATATTTCTAATAAAGCAGCCCCACATAATGCCATCGATTATTATAATAGAAATAACATATATTCTGTAATACTACAAGGTGTATGCAATGACAAAAAACAACTCACTAATATTTATGTGGATGCACCGGGCGGATGCATGGATGCACGTGTTTTCAGAAATAGTGGCATATTTGAACTACTATCTGGAAATGATCCTCCTATTGCAACCACTGAGCGTTTATTGGGAGAAGCAGCGTATCCCTTACTCCCCTTTCTTATGAAGCCTTAAGCTTGATTTTCATGCATCCGTTGTCCGACGATACGTTGATACGATATTAATTTTATTGGTAGAATTTAAAGATTTTGATTGGTTAGAAAATAACGCAGTTTTTAAATTTATTGCATTTTCATGCCTCCGTTCATCGGACATACGTTGGTGTTATTTTATATTTTCGTTTCCATGACAATGACATTTTCGCTGTTTTGGCGTTAAATACTTTGAATAAGAAGACTAAGGAAGGAGCATAATGCTATCCATGTATTCATGCATTGTGGGCGGAAAAAGCACCATAAAAGCACTCTAGGGTGGGGATCCTTGACAGTTCTGTTTGACGATTCATTTGACACATTTGAATTTAATTTGAAATTTTGTGGATTTGTCAGTCTTTACGGAGCTTATTTTATGTTATTTATTATTTATTCTACTACTGATAGTTGTATAAAGGTAGTAAATCTAGATGGAAATTGTGGCAGAACTTAAATTAACAGTGACACTATGGCGATTTATCGAAAAGATTCTAAAATAGTTGGTTGTGTAGTGTGCGGTAGATCTCGGCAAAAAATTGAGTGAAATAATGGAACAACTTTTCGCTAGTAAGTGACTATATAATATACATACGTGTAATAAACCGATCATTTATGAAATTCACTTAAATTAACTAAATTATATATTTTTTCTTGCCATTTTAGCTTTTATTTATTTCTTGTCAAAGATTAGATGTCAAAGAATTTAGATACGTTAATTTGACTTACCTGCTTCAGTAGCGTATCGGATGTTTGTGTTAATAAATACTTATTATAACTTATCTATTTTTATTAGAATTATATATTTTTATAACAATTTTAATAACTACCAACATTTATTCACAACGTAAAATAAAACAACAAATTATTGAGTCTAGCCCACGTCTACCCTACATCATAGTTTTACATTTGTGTGACTAAAAGTTATTCACTTTGATTTCAGCGAGTCGGTCTAGGTGAACTTTTAATGTGTGGAGACAGTGCTTATTCTTTGACACTTTGAGGGTTGCCATTACCAGTTCCTCTTCTTCCTCCATTTCCAGCAATAATATCGCAACCATTTATTATTATTTGTGTTCATTTTTATAAATATGTATTTGTTTATTTTGCAATACACACAGCACGCACCATGTTGTGTACACAAACGTAAAAATATCATTGTATATCATTTCGAGCAAACCACCATTGGCCGAAATCGCTATCCTCGGCTGTTGACGGACTGTCCGCTTTCCGCGACGGAATGTTGGAGGAAACCAGGCCGAGATAGGTTCTCGCGCACAATAAATTTTGGTCAGTTTGGGTCCCACAATACTAAGTAAGTTTTGAAAGTTTTCACTGGGCATCGTTAGAAAATTAAAATATTTTTCAGTATCAGTGAGGCTCATTTCATTTATTAAATTATGATAGACGCCTTGGTGTTGACGGTTTCTAAAAATATCCCGTATCCAAAACCTTTTAGTCTTTTTTTTTGTTCGGTGTAATAGTAGAGACAAAAGCAATAAATTTTGTATGCTTTTTTGCCTTTGAAGCTGCACACAGGAGTTAATTCTGGATATGCCGAGGATCAGTCATTTCCAATTTTTTACGACTCAAGTTAAAAATGCAAAATTATATTAAAACTAAAAGAATAATCACTTCTTGATAGCGATAAATGTCACAAATTTGACAACAAACAAAAAGTATTGTTAGATTACAGTTGTCAAAACGTCCGTTATCGTACGCAAATCGTACGTTTATTTTCGCTGTTTTGGCGTTAAATACTTTGAATAAGAAGACTAAGGAAGGAGCATAATGCTATCCATGTATTCATGCATTGTGGGCGGAAAAAGCACCATAAAAGCACTCTAGGGTGGGGATCCTTGACAGTTCTGTTTGACGATTCATTTGACACATTTGAATTTGATTTGAAATTTTGTGGATTTGTCAGTCTTTACGGAGCTTATTTTATGTTATTTATTATTTATTCTACTACTGATAGTTGTATAAAGGTAGTAAATCTAGATGGAAATTGTGGCAGAACTTAAATTAACAGTGACACTATGGCGATTTATCGAAAAGATTCTAAAATAGTTGGTTGTGTAGTGTGCGGTAGATCTCGGCAAAAATTGAGTGAAATAATGGAACAACTTTTCGCTAGTAAGTGACTATATAATATACATACGTGTAATAAACCGATCATTTATGAAATTCACTTAAATTAACTAAATTATATATTTTTCTTGCCATTTTAGCTTTTATTTATTTCTTGTCAAAGATTAGATGTCAAAGAATTTAGATACGTTAATTTGACTTACCTGCTTCAGTAGCGTATCGGATGTTTGTGTTAATAAATACTTATTATAACTTATCTATTTTTATTAGAATTATATATTTTTATAACAATTTTAATAACTACCAACATTTATTCACAACGTAAAATAAAACAACAAATTATTGAGTCTAGCCCACGTCTACCCTACATCATAGTTTTACATTTTTTAAATAAAATTAGAACGACACTGATAAACCGGAATTTAAGTCGGCCATATTTGAGGCCCATCGCGGTGTACCTAAGATTTTTGATATGCTCCTTCCTTAGTCTTCTTATTCAAAGGTATATATAGACAGAAAACATATGCTGTCACAATTTTTAATTGTCTCACCATTCTTTTAAATATACTAAAATAAAATTTGACAAATGGAAGAAAACAATTTCAATACCTTTAGAATAATCGACGACGATGAGGATACGACAGAAACCGAGACAGAAGTACGTAACGTATGTGTGACTAAAAGTTATTCACTTTTATCAAGTTTAAATTATTTTAGGATTCCACAAAAACTACACAACATACGGTAGAGGACCTATTGATTTCTTGTGTACAGGCAAGACCAGCGTTGTGGGACTCAAGACAAGGGGAGTCTTGAGGGAGGAAAAGAAGGGTCAAAAACAATAAGGGATAAATTATGGCAAGAAATTTATGTCCAATTTGGAGAAAATCCTGACATTTCCATACCGCTTCTACAGAAAAGATGGTGAAACCTAAGAGATAATTTCGTACGGATAAAGGGCGAATACAATCCTAGCGGATCTGCTGCAAAAAAAAGAAGAAATGGGAGTTCTATGACATGCTCTTATTTTTAAATGATACTATAAGTTATAGGCCTACAGTATCAAATATTGCTTGATCCCTAACAGAAAGTCCGGTAGAATCTAGTTGTGCTTCCCCATTGTTTTCACCAATCGCTAAAAATAAAGAAAAACCGAAAAAAAAACAATATTGAAGGAGCTATACTTGAAGCCCTTGATAGGGTTAACAATACCCCACTTTCAACTCTTCAACTGCCAGTTGTGAATGAAGAAATAAACCCTATATGTATGAGGATTTCACAATTACTGAAATTCTTGCCCGAAACTGCTAAAACGCAATTGGAAATAAAATTAATGCAAGTTGCCCAGATGAGGGTTTAAAAATATTTAAAATAAATTAATAAAACAGATTTTATTTTGTTACAGATTTTTTTAATATGCTAAGAAATGTAAATATATTTATTAAATTATCCTATTATATAAAACATATTTTATTTATCCCCACGGTACTCCATCTTCCATAAAATAATTTGATAAACTTTCCCTCATTGTTTCAACAGTTTGGCCATACATGTTT